CAAGAGAGAAAAACCCACAGCGTGTACAAAAACCGAAACCCGGCCTCATTGAGGCTACTCAAGATTAGCTGCTTCTAAATTGAGAGTTGCCCTACCGATCAGCGGGTGACAGTCATCTGAGGTCTCTTCCTTTTTGAACCAATTCCAAGATATTCCTTTTTGAACATTTTCCAGGCTATTTTCCCCAACTTGAAAGCTAAGCTAGCTCCTTTAGGAAGACTTTTTGTACCCTGGTGGCAAATGCAAATGTAGGTTGAGATATAGTTGAAAGAGGTCCCAGCCAAAACCTCCAGAGATATCAATATGGATGCTCTGGTGACACTTGACTCTTTAAAAAGAGTTCTAGTGAAGACATTATTTCATATTTTATTAACCCAGCCCCTTCAATTAGACTCCTCAGCCCGCTAACCGTTCAGACGCTGGTCAGTCCTTGAAACGAAGAATATTTATCCATCAAAAAACCAAGGTCGTATTTGTAATATCCCAAAAAAAATTATGCCTGGTTTGGCCAATCATTTCATTTGCAGCATATGAAAGGCGACAGAATGGGGGGAAAAAAAGATGAAACTGGAATTACAGCCTCGGCCTACCTGTTTCAGCACATCACTGCCTCCTCGTCCACAGCCTTATCAGTATTCCTCAGCGTTCCCCGTCTTCTCCATTACCCACTACTGGCAGCCAGTCAGGGACACTTTCCTTTGGCAGGTAACCGGCCCGCAAGGACAAAATGGACACACGGGCAATTTAAATGATTGGAAGCAGTAAGTAATATATTAGAGAGCCCTGTGTTTGAAAAGTCAGAAGTAAATTTCATGTTATTAGTGCCAACTCAGCGAAGCAGAAAACACAAGGTTTATAGAGGAACGAGTTAAAGTTGGAGATGATATTGTGGGTGTTTTACGATGCAAAAGATAGTGTATCTCAGTCTTATTTGTGTTTCAAGAGAGTGCCATCTCACCGATTTTGACAATTGTGAATCGTGGCTTTGTGTAGAGAAACCAGTGCATATTCTCTCTTAATTACGGACTAATCCACAAATCTCCACCGCGTGGCCCTCAACGAGAGGTGATGGATTAGAGATGTAAATATGATGTCTGAGAGGGCATCCCTGGTGAGTTGAACCCCATCTTTGGTGTCTAGCTTGTTTGCAGGCCTGTGTTTCCCCCTCTATTCATAATCCTCCATGGAGAGCTGAAATTGGTCCTTGGTCTCATTAGAGGCCCTGGCCATACCCCTAACACACCTGAGATCGATGGGTACAGGCCTTTAAGTGGTCGCCTTGGTTATTAAACGCAGAGGAAGACAATTTCTGGTGGAGGAAAGCTAATCCGATCACACATTAGGAGCCCATATTGGCTGGAGTGGCGCGAGAAAGCGATAAAACGGGGTCGTGTGTCTTCTGTGTGTACTCACTAGATGGGCTGTTCAACAAAAGCAATATTGTGGGAGCAGCATCACATGCTTTCTGCAATCCATGCCCTCATTGTTTAAAAAATATGCAGAAATATTCTCATATTAAAATATGCAGAGATATTTTAAACTCGTGATTTCCACCCGAGTATCATTTGTTTGTGCATGAGAAAGTTGCTGGATGCTTCAGATGGTTTGTGTATTGATAGAGGAATTGAATTACAAAGTTTTGGCTTAAGACACAGATATTTTTGTCTTTGCATGTGAGTAGTTAAAGACTAATTTAGCAGGAAATCATGACTAAGCGGGGAAAAGGAAAAGTATTTATCCAAATTAGTATAATAATGCGACATGTTGCAGACGAGCATGTGGTTTGATTCTCTTCAAAGATTTTGTGATTAGGTTCTTAACAAAATCGAACAAGAATATGAACACATGCATCAGATGAGCAACCACCTGTTCCCTGAATATATTCAAAGAAATCCACTGTTTAAAATCGCATATGTGTTCAAATTAGAAACGTTGGGATACTAAAAAAAAAGAGGGAACCAAATACTGGGCCAAAAAATATGAGGTTCCACGTGGATTCATTCAGGCCTGATCATCAACATGATTTAAAATATTCGTTGAAGATTGGAGCTTTTCCCACCATTTCCTGACTTTCCACAGACATCTTTTGGTTTCTCTTGTACTTCTGCACAGATTCCTGACATTGCTGATCAGATGCAATCCGGCTTCAACTTCGACTTCAACAACCATGTCACATTCAATAAAACATTGTTTTTGATTTTGTTTCTTGCTTCTCTGAAAGCCTCATTAGTTCCCACTCCCATTATCTGCAATCCGCGTGTCACTTCTTGTTATTGCTTGTTTGACATTAGTAATATGTAATGTAATTTTACGGAGACTGAAACGATGTATTTGGATGTCATTTAATCTTTTTTTTTTTCTTGAGTCCCATATCTGTGCATTTTCAGCCATCTTGGCCTTTAGCTAATTATTAAATGTAATCCCAGACATAGGTAAGAGTTGTACAGTTACGCTTCGACTGAGGGGCCGTGTCATTAGAGCCATGAACCGAATGTGAACTGACCACTGACAAAAGGAAGTGTATTAAAAATCATTGAGTTCAGTTTGTAATTGAATAATAGGGCCTCCCTTGGTCTGCGGAGTGTTTTTGTACGGCCTCAGGCTATTCGGATTTCACGGTTCTGTTTTCATTGAGACTGTATGTTGCGAATTGTGGCCTGACCGAAACATCTACGTCTGTAAAATTAGGACTTCCTGTGAGCTGCATATGCATGCGCACGGTATCAGATGGTAGTCGCAATATGGGCATATGCTGCGGCAGGACGTTGTCGAGGGATGACAGGTGGTTGCTGGGACATTTGCATAATTATGGATGTACCACATACACCCGTAGCAACTCATAAACCTGGAGACTAGAGAGCTGAGAAATTTCAACCGCTCAGAGCGCTCAGAGCTTCTGCCAGGTGGCAAGACACTAACAGTAAATCTGCCTGTCGACACTCAGACACTACTGCAGATGACATGTGAACACTTTACTTTTGCGTTGGATACATCTAAAGCATGGTACAGAGCCTAACAAGGGAAACAAATGTGCTCTGTCAGGGAAAAGACTTCCTGGGGGTGTTTATTTTTTCCCCTCAGGTCTAATGTGCCACTGACTGTGGCTAATTTACTCTGAACTGGTACTCTACTCTAAAACGAAGCGCTTTATATGAAACATGCATAATGTATTATGAAGATATTCTTAAATGGATAGCTGACCTACTGTAAGGGATAGATTTACTTACTGTACTCTCATTATATTGACAAGTGTGGCAGGATATTCTTAAAAAATTCACCTTTTGTATTCCACAGAATGAAACACATCAAGAAGGTTTGAAATGACCTCAGGGTGACAGAGTTTTCATTTATGGGTGAACTGTTCTTTAATGCAGTATAAAATGTTTCAAATATTCCTCGAGTCTGATCGAGTAGCATTCCAAGAGTGCTGAGAGTCCAACAAAGTGTATCACTCTTGTCTGTCTGCGTGTTCTTTATAGAATCTTCACTGATTTCTGCAGGTTACATTGTTATGCCAGTAGGTGGCGACAAGCGAGCGTCATTGTGAGCGAGTCATTTTAATCATTTGTTCAACTGATTTGTTTGTGCTTGCATAGAAAATCAATGAAAAAGTAGCACAGTGGAATGGAAAAACGTGTCTTGATTGGTTAAAAAACATGGATTTATTTAGGAACGAAACAAACAATTGAGTCATTTAAATCATTTGTTTTGGATGACTTGCATATAAGTGCTGATTCATTCAGGAACAAAACAAATGGGTGATTCTCAAATGGAAGTCCTATCTAGACCAGTCCTTATGAAGTTTCTAGGCTAAACGCTCGATTTTAAATGTGTGCAAAGGTTTGTGGATGATTGGAGGATGCGAAGGATAAACTTGATGAATGCTTTAAAACATGCTGAATGAAGGATGCGAAACAAAGACTGTCTTCCAAGGATCTTTCAAATTAAAATGGCCTTTCAGGATTGAGAAGCCCTCAAATGATCATTCATTCAACCATTTTGTTGAATGAAATGGCTGATTTATTCAGGAGCGCCATTATTGTGTATTGCAGTGGTTCTGCTGTGTTCTTTTCAACTACTTTTGTAGGTGGAGCAACAACAGGCAAATTAACTGGCAATAATGTGTCTAAAATATGTTACTCTGTATTAACTGTGGGTACAGCTTGCCCAGTCATGCTGCCTTCTTGCTACTCCAGTAACTTATTGGAATTAGAAATGGAGGCCTAAACACATCTTTTGAGCTAGCAACAGCAGATCCTGAATCTGTGGCAAATGTAAGTGGTTTACACTCAGATTTAGTTGCAGCAAACAGTGCAAATGACTGTATTACAAATATAGCAGTTGATTATGCTTAATAAATCGAGAGAAGCAGAAATGTACGATTCTCTTTTATTGGCAAGTACCATTTTGTGGTTACAGTTACTCAGAAGAATATTCAATATTTTCTTATCAGACATTTTTAATTTAATTCTTTAAACATAGACGCTTAATAAGAAGTGTTACAGAAACGTATAGAAAGGTGTAGAAATAAGTCTACTCTGTAGACGACCACAAGCACAGAACCCTTGAATCCAGAGCGGCTGCGTTCTGAGCTGTGTGAGACAGGAAGTGTGAACTGGTATCTGACTAATCCCCCCCCACCTGCCCTGCAGTTCAAACCCATTACAGCGCAGCAGCACAGGGACACCTCTGGCTCTTCTCGCCCATCTCTTTCAAAAGCGTGTGCGGTGCACGCATCACAGAACAAGCCCAGCTAAATGGCCCTATTGCCACCGCCTTTCTTTGCGAGGCTCAAAGGAACTGGCTTTGTGTCAGACAGAAATGTACTACTGTGTCCCTGTCACACTTTTGTGGGGCTGAAAAGGGTCTTTCTGTAGGAAATCGAGGAAACTCAGCTTAAGTGCTGTGTTTGTTATCTGTGGCCATGTGGGAAGGATGTACCATAGTGAAGAAAGTGAGAAAATATGCTGTTAACAAGACCTCTCTCATCTCTGTTTCAGACATGCCCTTGCATGTACGCCGCAGCAGTGATCCAGCTCTGGCTGGCCTGCCTGAAGCCCAGCTGCAGCCAGAGGAACCGTCTCGTAAGAACCCCACACGATGGTCCACCACAGCAGGCTTTCTGAAAGCCAACAACACCAGCGCAACCAACAGCCTAGAGCGAAAGGTCAGTTCTTACTATCACAGTATCAATTAGGCATTTCTTTACATTTTTATTTTTACACACACACATTTCTAATTTATTTGAAACTGAAAAGGTGAATTACCTCAATAAATGTGGAGTAATATCTATCCATCCATCCATCCATCTATTGTTCTGCTTATACATCCATCCATCCATCCATTTATTGTTCTCATTATACATACGTCCGTCCATCCATCCATCTTTCCACCCATTGTTCTACTTATCCATCCATATATCGTTTTCCTACCCATCCATCCGTCCATCCGTCCATCCATCCATCCATCCAAAGCTTTTTCATTGCAGTGTTCATAACTACTTTAATTTGATACATGTAGATTTGTGTATGTACTTTTGGAAATTCTTATGAGGACATTATTTTTCCATTATGTTTTCACAAACCGATGCACCAATTGGAGCATTTTTAGGGCAACTTGTAAGAAGTGACTTCACCTTTGCTCCGTCTCTTCTCATTCATCTTGAGATTCTCTCAATGCCTTTTGCCACTGTTTGTTGTTGACCCTGGAACTCTCTTGGTTATGGAACCATATGTCTTCGCTGTTAGAAGAATGGGATCTGCGTCCTTTGTTTGTTGCTTCCCTCTTGATTCGGGCCTCATTGCGATGGTCAGTGCCTTTGGCTTTAAATGAATCAAAAAGAGGCACATTCTGTGTTTTCCTCCCTAGCTTCCCTGGGGCAGCCAATGAAAAAGAGGTCAATTATCTTTGCAAAATGGCTGCTCTTTTGCAGCAATGACAAGCCTTCAGTGCTTTGAAACAGCAATATTCCAAATTAAAAGAGGGGGAAAGGGGAGGGAGCGAGAAAAGATGGAGTACTCAGAATGTGACACCGCAACCCGCGATGAGATTAGCACATCTCATGGCATTCACTAGTAATCCTGTTTAAAAGCACTTTGCTTGTCGGTTTCTTCCATAATCCAAACACCACACTCTCATTTTGGCAGAGCAGAAGAATTAAGCTGTTATTTTTACCTTTCGTTCTGCACCGGATCATTTATTTCTTGATTGTTGTTTTTGGGATGTCATGAGAAAAGCTTGAGGTGCTTGGAAGGTCTGTTTTTGGTTGATACTGTCAGATGACGATAAGCGACAGTGCATATAAATGCGCTCTATTTTAGTACCAGTGAATTGGTGAAATGAACATAAAGGTGTTAGTTCACCTTGAAGTAAGAATAGCAGGCGCTGAGGAGAAATGTATTATTTCTGCATTTTGCCTTCAGGCTTATATATGCAGAGAACTGTCATTCTCCAAAACTCTATGGCTTTTCCTGTATATACTGTATTTCAACTTTTGAATCTCCTGATTTAAAAAAAAATAGTCAAGACATGCTGGTCTATGTGTCAATGACTGTCCAAAATAAATTTAAGCAAAACAAACAAACAAACAAACAAACAAAAAACATATATTTTAAATAAACAATTTAAAATGCATGAGCCAAGTTCTCAGAAATTTTCTTTGTATTCATGTTGGTTTAAAAAAAATTCAGTTTAAATAACATGTGGTGTAACCATCAAAGTAAAAGTAGAACTAAATAAATGAATAAATAAATAAATAAAGAATTTAAGGGTTAGTTGTTTATTTTTGCAAATATCATGTATTATTTTTGGAGCTTTGACTACATGACGTTTAACAACCTGAACTAACCTTGCTGTATAATAAAAAGGCAAATCATCTGATATTTGAAGAAACGTATTGACTTCTTAACCACACAGTCATTAGGGTCTGCAGAAGTCCCCTCTATGATGTCATTTCCTGTTTACAGTATGTTTTCCCCCTAAATGTTGTTTTTTTTTTTTTTACAAATACTTATAATATTTTTAACAAAATTGTTATTCATGTCATTGACTCCTAGAATGAAATCTAAGATTAAATCCTCCATATTGGCCAGAATGTAGCCTGTGCCATGTTTTTATAAAGTAATGTTTGGTGTTCATGGACATTTTCTCATATGGAGCATAACATCTGTCTCTCAGTATCTCTTCCTGAACTTGTGGAAACCTGTAGGCCTCCTGCTGCATTTGGATGCTTTGCCCAGGTAGGGTGTATGCCTCAATCACTACAACATGCTCCACGGGAAGTCTCAATTCATAAGGCTGACCTTATATATTCTTCACCATCCTTTGGGCCTTTGACCTGCTGGTCTTCATGTTCCTCGCTGTGTCTCTTCCTCTTCATCTCTGCCCTGCTGTCAGAATTATCTATATAGATCATTTACCATGCAGGAACATCAAAATCACTTCACTGTATACAATCGCTTTTGTCTGGTGTCCGATTGTGAACTGGCTCTCGCTATAACAGGAAACTCTTTTTCTTCTTCCTCATTCCTCAGACTAGGTCTTTAGCCAAGAGCAGTGGTGCTCAGTAGGCTTTCTAGGCTAAAGCCCCCCTGTGTCACAGGATAACCTGTTTTAGGTTTGCTCTAAAAACCATTCAAATTGAGATTTGACTTGAGCGCCATTGCTAGAGGGCGTTTGATTTCACCTCTGTGAAAACATGCAGTGCAACATTAGAAACACGGTGTGAATTAGTAGCTTGTAATGGAGCTCCTTATTAGTGAGAAATGAAATTAGCGTGCCCTCTAAATTTAGGTGGCCTGAATGATATCATTGCGGGGCTCTGATCCAAGATGAGCTTCCCTAAGCACAGTGACTCTAATCTGGAGAACAGTTTCAGTAAGGTATTACTGTATTAGACACTACATATTTAGGTAAATTGGTATCAATGTTATTAAAACCCAATTTGTGTAATAACTAAGCTTTTTTAATTGCTAAAATAGTTTCTTGCTTTAAAAAATGGGAAAAAATGTTTCGTTTTGCCCATATAATGAAAGTGTATTGGGCCAATGTTGTTTGGACTACAATGTGCTTCTTTTGTGCCCCACAGGAGAAAGTAAGTCAACCCAGGCTCACTGGAAGAAAAAAATGCTTCTGGTGACACTTCTGCAAAATTACATTAAGTTGCTTCTTGCATGTTTTACAGCACTTTTAAAGTGAAAGGTCCAGTGAGTGGTGCTAAAAGTGTATTCGGTTTTCCCAGAAACTAATGAATGTGAAAGTAGCAATGGTTGTTGTACAGTACATATCACAGCATTTTGGAAATGAAATGTTTTATAAGTGGAGCTAAAAGCTTAATGCTCTATCACTTTTGAAAATAATAGACTAAACCCTACCATAAACTAATAGTGTTAACAAAAGCAATTGTGAGATAAAAGCACATTTGCTGTAGCTACCATACCATTTTATTTTGCTTCTAGTTCATGTTTCACAGGATCCATATGTGAGCACAATGCAAATATAATGCTGTACCGGGTCGACTACCGAGCAATTTTCCTATTTCACAGAAGGCATATATATGGAGTTGGTTATGTGATGCAAACATGAAAATGTATTTGTTTTCAAATCATGCACTATGGTAAAAGTGTTTTAGGTCATAACCAGGGATTTAAATTAACTTTTTCACTCACCAGCCAATTTGGCTACTAAATTTTTAAGTTACCAGCCATTCATAACTTCTACCAGCCAAAAAAAAAGAGAAAAAAAGACAGAAATAAACCAACAGTTTGAGGCTGTCTACACTGGATGTGACAAAGCGATCTTTGCAAATCATTTTGTGTCAGTACTAGGGGTGTGCGATATTGACAAAAAATAATATCTCAATATTTTCTGGGATTTTATCGATAAAGATAAATAGACGATATTTTGGTGAGTGTGTTATTGTGCTGATATCTTAAGGACTACCGTGGACAGATGACTCCTAAAGTTTTTGATATTCTTCATATTCTGTGTGGTCAGTTCACAGCAGTGATATAAATAAATTTTTTCCAATAAGTTTAAATTGATTTTTACCTTATATGCGCATTTTTACCTTTATAAAGCCATTTTTTTCTAAAAGTGTACACCATCTTTTGAGTCAAATTCTTACATTTAATCAGTCAATTACAATAATACTACATTTAGGCTGTTACTAAACAAATTAAATCAGTATCAATAAAATTCATCTTTGCAGAAGTTGCATGAAGTGGCATTTAGATGTATTTACACATGTTAATGCAGCTTAGAGGGAAATGTAATGCTTTAACCTGCAGTTACAATGCATAAATAATTTTTTGATATTTTAAACATGAAATGTTGAATACTGATATTTTTAATTATTTTAAAAATGAAAAGATACTCTAAATGTAAAATTAAACCAATTAAAACCGCAAGTAGGTGGCAGCAAGTCACTGTTAAGTGAGTCATTGCGATTGAACCGAATCATTTAAACGGTTGATTCATTCAGGAACGAGACGCAAAACAGTGCTGTGGCTGTGTTTGGAATGTTTTTTGTTGGCGCAGAATATATAGCGCAGAAATAGCGCAAAAACAGCCAATATGGTGTATGTAAGTCTCACGTAAGTCTAAATAAAAACGTAAGTCTCTTGATATTAACTTATTGTTTATTGAACTGTTGTAGAAAATCAATATCACATTTGTAACCATGCTGATTTTTTAAAGAAAAAACGGCACTCTTCGTGTGATATTGATTAACTATATGAATTGATATAAATATATACATTTTCTGCCCCCTTATCTTGAATTATGTGATCATTCTTAATGCATATTAATAGACTGAATCATGCAGTGAAAGAACGCACTTCTTGCAATATGCTCGATAATGTCATGATGTCTCACGAGTTCAGTATTTCAGCTAAACCTGCGCAGATTTGGCTTGCATTAACTTCCCCAAGAAATTAATGAGTGAACATAACTTACGAAAAGTAACCCTCCGGCAGGTGTTAATTTCAAACCCTGGTCATAACGTAGTATTGTGCAAGGAACCATGTGAAAATAAGTGTATATAAATCGATAATCTGCCCCATTTCTCATCATTTGCATAGGAATTAAAGTTGTTGGTGTTCATTTCAACTGGAAAATATAGTGAATTGTTTTGCCAAAATGTAGGTAGAGGCATGTTTTTCCAGTGAGCCTATGTTGAAGAGTTATAGAGTTTTTTTTTTTTCTAACGAGGGTGAGTAAATGATGACAGAATTTTAATTTTTGGGTGAAGAAACCAGGTGTGAACATCCTCTTTCATCACCTTCATTGTGCTTTCCAGGGTAAGGATCTGGAAGCTTATCGCAGCCTGCCTCGTGATGTTGTCCCCTGGGCCACCCAGTTTCAGAGAGAAAACGCTCGCTCCTCCCTCAGTGCCAGCCATCCCATGGTGGACCGATGGCTTGAGCGTCAAGAGCAGGTACTTTTCAAGAACTCATCCGCATATACCCAGCTCCTAAGTGCCTCTTAACTCCAGTAAACTGCACTGATCTATAAACTTGTGTAGTTTTTTTATTGGGGATTTTTGTTTGAGTTAAAAGTGGATTCAGGAGTCAAGGGGAGATTATTGAATATAGCACACAATAAAAAAGGACTGCAGAGAGAGAAAAAAAACAAAACTAGAAAATGACACCCACGTTGTTGGATGAGGATTTCACTAACCTTACAAAACGAGGGCCACGGTCTCCATAGACGTGGATGCTGAGTGTCTTTGAAATTCAGCTCTTTTGTCAATGTATCGGTGGAACCGTCTCAAGGAGTGTGGGAGGTGTTTCGAATTCCTCTCCCTCTCGCTCAGAGGAGAGAAATAAAAGAAAGAGGTGAAGAAGGAGATTGAGATGTTTGAGGCGCCCGGTGTGCTGCGGGGAATTCACTTATTAATTTTCGCAATCGATTTTCTCGAACCGCCAGCATCCATTTCACTCTTTCCCCCCACTTTTCTTTCTTTAGCCCATTGAAACGACTGTGACAGAGGTTTCGGCTGCTTGTTTGCAATTCAGGTGGTCGCGGCTTCTCATTCCCCAGAAGCTTGAGTTGGCTCACAAAGAAATCCCCCACCACCACCACCTCAAGGGCCCGTGGCACCGAGAGTCGTGCATCATCATTAGGGAAGTCGTCTTGCATGGAGGAGCCTCTGGGTTGGATGTTGGGCTGCTGGCGGGTTGAAAGGAGCAGTCAGTCAAGGCCTGGGCTCAACCTGACAGACTCATTCATTTGAGCTTCAGTCTATTACAGCTTAGCCTGACCCCTCCAGTCTGTAGCCCGCCCTGCATCGCTCTTGCTTGCTTTCTCTCTCTCTCTATCTCTTTCTCAAGCTATGCCGTCAGTAGCACCTCTGCTCTCTTTTCTCATTTCTCCTTGCCTGTTTTCAGCCCCTTTCCCCTCATTTTCTCTCTTAGCAGGAAGTGGTTATTTGAAGTGACAGACAGATTTCAAGACAGATGCAGAGGTTCTGTTGCTATTCAAGCACATTAACACACACACACAGAGTAGGTTGAAGCTAGTGTGGCTAATATTTCACCTCCCTTTCTTAGTAACGATTTGGTAGTATTATATATATATATTTGTATGTATTTTAATGACGTGATTTTAAAGATTTTTCACCTAAAATGTTGTCATTTCTGATTTGGAATGACAAGAAGGTGAGAAATGAATTTTATATTTCAAATTATACTAATGAAAATATTTATGAATTAAACTGGTTTGAATAAATGACTGCAAATGCAGCTTGTGAGCAACTCTTTCGTTAGATGTGATTAAATTATTTTCTGCCTAAAAATGTTGTCATACTGATTTGGAATGACATGAAGGAGAGAAAGGAATTTTATTTTTAAAATTATACTAATGAAAATTAGTTTGAATCAGAGTGGTTTGAGTCAATGACTGCAAATGCAGCTTGTGAATACCTCTTTAGTTTATTAATGTAAAGATGTCATATAAATATGTTTACAAGTAATGCATAATCTTGTGACGTTTGTTAAGTACTGCAGTGTGCAAACATTTTTGAGTAGTTTGTTTAACATTGTACAGCGCCATAGATACACAAGGATATCGCAAGTCAAGCACATCTTCATGTTTTATATGCACTCAGTCTGTCTCGTAGTATGATAGTTGCCTCTACTGGCTCATCACGAAGTTCTCAGCAATTATGTCTTTATTGCCATCTTAAATATCCATTTAATCTTTCATTTCCACTTTACTTTTATTGGCTCTAATTGTTTAGTTGCCTTCCTCTTCACAACCGGCTCAGTTCGATCTAGCCTCCATTCTATTTGCATAATGTTGTGGCTTTTTTTATAGACCTTGAGTAAGCTACTTAATTAAGCTTGGCTATTTTCTCTTTATTTACCATGCCAGGCATGCCAGCGTATGCATTTTAAACGTCTCGCCAGGAGACTTTTCTTTCATTTCGAATCACTTTTTGTTGCTTTCTCCTCTTTTCTATGAAAAGCATCAGTAAACTCGATGAACAGACACTACCATACCTGAAACAGAAAACTTTTAAATAATATACTCTCTGCACTTCGGAAGCTGTGAACGGGGAAGAACGAGGCCTCAAAATTAAAGCTGAATGATGCAACATAACGTTAACAGGGTCACTCAGTGTCAGTCATTAAATAACAGTTAATTTCTCTAAAATACATAATATATGACAGTATATTAATTATGTTGCTATGTTATTCAATATTTGTGTATATTATATATTTTAATATGGCTGTTGTAGTTTTGCATTGTTAGCTTACACCTATGTATCACCTACGTATTTCTGCTAAAATCTCTGGTATAATCTTTTTCCATAGCAAACTGATAGTAGGAAACTCTTTGTAAATGTTGAACTCTGTTGAGCACCACTATATATTTTTTTTATATTATAGTGCTGTGTCGTAAACAGTATTTTAATCGTGATTACATTTTTTGCTTCTCTTGGTTTAAGCATAATCGTCGACTTTTCATTGTAATTTGACTTTTGCATTAGCTTGCATTGGTTACTAGACTCCACAAGCATTCCCAGATTGTAGTTGTGGTTAAATCCTTTTTTTTTTTCTTTTTTCCCAAAAAATTATACATTTGCCTAGTGGTTACTCAATCAAAAGTCAGAATTGCGTGATATAAAGTCGCAATTGCGAGACATAAAGTCGCAATTCTGAGAAATAAAGTCAGAACTGCGAGATATAAACTCACAATTTTTTTTTACATCTCACAATTCTGACTTTTTTCTCAAAATTAAGTTGAGTTTAAATTGTTTACTTTTCACAAATTTTTTTCCAACCGCAAAGATAAAAAACAAAAAAGGTAATTGCTACTTTTTATCTCACAGTTTGGACTATTTTTCATGCAATTGCAAGTTTATATTTCCTAATTCTGACTTTTCTTCTTAGAATTGCAAGGTTATATCTTAAATTCTGCATTTTTATATCTTGCTAATTCCAGGTTTATATCTCACAATTTTGACTTTTTGTGAGATAAAAAGTCGCAATTACCTTTTTTTTTTTTAAATTCAGTGGCGCAAACGGGCTTCCATACTATTGAGATATTCTGCTCAAATAAAAGTGTAATGCAGTCAATAATTGAAATAAATTCAGATGAAATTTTAAAAAAAATGACAATAGACGTGATTAATAATTGTGATTATATTTTTTGAACAGCTTAACCATTATTGGACAGACCTAGTATATTATATACATTATTATTTACAGTAAATATTTTAGTGTATTATAATAAAACATTTCTAGATGCTTTAAATGGGCCTTCATTTAGCTGTATCAGTATTACCTTGTCCTGTTGTGGGACACATCCTCAAGATTTAATTGATTTTTATGTTTGTTTTTTTAATTTAATGTTTTAATTAATTACTTTTGTTCTTCATTTTTGTACAATTTCCATATACTGTACTACATTGGAAATTGCGTTGGTCACTGAGGCTAAATGTGGGAGCAGTTGTTCATAGAGTTGAGTCATGTCTCTCTCGTGTTAGTTTTTGTGCAGAATATGCCACATGGAGTTGCTGCCTGTGTTTTTTTTTTTTTCTTTTCTTTTCTTTCTTGTTTTTTTTTTTAATTGTACAACATCTGATGATTACATCAGAGATACACCACTCTGTCCTTATAGACACAGCACAGGCCCTGACCTTTCTCTGAAAGGAACACAAGTTGTGTAGAGGTAAGGAATGTCCGAGTGTTCCATTTAGTTGAATGTACAACAGCTTGAGAGGCAGAAGAAATGCATTTTAAGGCTCAATGTTGATTCAGACAGCCCAACTGTGCTGGTGCTCTCACCCACTTGAGTCGACCTCTCCAAAGACCGCTCTGAATAACACCACAGCAGTGAAGCAAACCTACGAGAGCACTTCGCACGGTCACCTGAAAAGGACGTTCCGTTCCAACACTCAGTAAAAGCTTTGCTGTCTTTCACAAAGCAGTGCTTGTTTTGCGTCAGCATGATTGTAATGATGTATATTACACTAGAACCCTCAGATTGTGTTCCAGGTTTGTTCCCAATGTTTTTAATTGCATCCTGACGTGTCAGTCTCTCACATTCCCACCTGGTGCTCTAACAGCGAGGTGCTGCTGTGTCTTTCCATTGGGGATTGTTAGAATGGCATTTCCTTTTTCATTTTTAAAACGTTCCTCTCCCTAGTGATGAATTAGAGATGACCCATCTGGGCAGGAAGAGGGCAGCATGAGGCTTCAGCTGTGGATTTGTGGGTAATGCAAAGTGCGGCAAGGTCATGAGGTCTCCTTATTCTGGAACAAGAGAGACTGGATTTGAGAATTTCATCATCGAATAACTGTTTGCATTTTTATTCAAAAGAGTGGAAGTACAGCTTCAGTACCTGTTCATTTTATTCATACAGCACTATAAGATATTGTAAATTAGGTTAACCCAGAATGAAGCTCTGTACGTGACCAATATTACACTTTAGCTGGACTTTTGAGATGGATTATGGATATAGAATGTCATTTTTGTGTAATAAATTAGAAATTGTTCAAGAATTACTCTTTCTCATAAGAACTGCAAGAGGCCGGCAAATCAATGCTTTATTATTAAGTGCAATTTTCTACTAGCCATTTCTATGTAATGAAAGTGGACAAGGTGCTATTAAGCTGTAATTTAGTTTTTTGTGTGTTGTAAAAAATGTCTTCAGAACTTCTTATATGAGCTTTTGTGGTTTTCATTGTCCATCATTGTGTAAGATCAGACTAGTTAGAGACATTTATCAGGTAATGGAGGTTACTAATGTCAAGTTGCTTTTGAAGTTCAGTTTTGAATGTGAAAAACGCAGAATGGGTGGAATGAGCAAAACCAGCAGAGTGCAGCTGAAGAATTTAATGGTACAGATTTTAGATATGCGGTATCAGATCCCAGTATGTCAATTCGATGGGCACATTTTAATTTTTGAAGTGTTTGAAAATCTGCAAT